AGAATTTCAGTTCAGCAAGATAACAAACATTTGCCAGAGAAGCAGGAAAATGAGCTGCCTGGAAATTAATGAGATCCGTGTGACCAGAGGTGATTGTGAGAACAGCCTCTGGCAGAGGACTGATTGGGGGAAATGACCTGTGACACTCTTAGAACCCTTTGAAAACACACATGTTCCCCCTGGCTTTCTCATTTTAGTTTCTTTTTCCTTTTCTGTGATCCTAAGACTAAAACAACTTAAGGGAGAAAGGCTTTATTCTGGCTGACAGTTCAAGGTATGATCCATCATGGTAAGAAAATCAAGTCAGCTTACAGCAGTGGGTCACAGAGAAGCAAAGATCAGGAAGCAATACATGATGGATGCAAGTGGTCACTCGGCTCCATTTCTCTATCTGTACAGCCCAGGGTGCCAGCCAGGGAATGGTGTCACCTATAGTATTTAGACCTTCTCACTAAAAATCAACAAGATAATCTTGTCAGGTAGGGGAAGTGCACACCTTTAATTCTAGCACTCTTGGGAGGCAGAGCCAGACTGATCTCTGAGTTCGAGGCCACAAGCCTAGTTTAGAATGAGTTCCAGAACAGCTAGGACTCCACAGAGAAACCTTGTCTCCAAAACACAAACAAACAAACAAACAAACAAACAATTCCCCACCTCCAAGAAACAACCCAAGATAATCTCATGACAGGTGAGTCCACAGCCTATCTCCTGTGTGAATCTAGATCCTGTTAAGTTGACAATTAACAGTATATTTCAACATTCCTAAGCACTAAAACCAACATATTTTAACCTTCCTAATCTCAGAGAGGATTGAAAAGAGAGACATGAAAGCTATTGATGAATCAGGGTATTCCTACCAGAGTTTGTCACCCCAGGATACAATGTGTCTCCAACTTTGCAGTAACAGTAACACCTCAAGATGGAAATTAAGAAACAAGATAGACAATATCCATTATAAATATGAGGCCAGTTTTGCTAATAACTGTAGCTAATTATTTTGACTTATTAAAACAATCACCCTATATTGTAGCATCCTCCATGGCCTCATATATTTGAAGCACCAGTTGTTGGTGCTTTGGGGAAGTGTTTGGAAACTTTAAAGGGTATAGCCTTGCTTTAAGAAGTGTATCACTGGGGTGGGGTTGAGGATTCAGAGCCTGGCTCCATTTCCTGCTTGCTGCCTCTCTGCTTCCTGGTATCATACATCCCTGAAGGAATGGAGATCTAGCTCTCTATAAGAAGCCACAATAAATTATTCCATTTGGAAGTCCCTTTTGATCATGATTACACAAAGAAAAAAGTAATTAATACATTCTGTTTTACCAAAATGTGTCCAGAGGCCATTAGATTTCCAACAGGTGACAGGCTGATAAATCCCAAAACCTTTAGCAAAATGGTGTGTGCCATTGTGCTGGTTTGGTTTTAGATTGTCTATTTTGGGAGAGGTTTTATAATGTTGAATGTAATTTGTTCTTTTTGCCTATCATTTATCACATGTAACTAAGTCCTTATTAACTATAACAACCTATGCTTTATGTATGGGCTTTGCCAATATACAGAACGTTAGGTTCCTCGCCCAGCACCACAGAATCTATCGAGAAAAACTACTCTCATACCTATGATTCTTATGATTTGTTTAGAGATTATTTTGTCATAAGTTATACAAGCCACTTTCCTGCAAGTAAATACTGTACTTTAAGCATATTCTCCTTTATAACCCACTACCTCCCTTTCAATTACTTTGTAGTTATTTTTTTATTTTATGTGTATATTTGCCTATATGTATGTCTGTGCATGATGTGCATGCCTGATACTCTCAGAGGCCAGAAGAGAGTGTCAGTTCCCACAAACTGGAATTAGAGTTGTGAGCCACCATGTGGGTGCTGAGAATCAAACCTGAGTTCTCTGCAAGAGGAACCAGTGCTCTTAAACATGGAGAGCCATTTCTCCCCTCCTCCTTGGTTTGTCTTAGATTGGATGGTATAGACACAGGGAGATACTGTTCTCATTAAAAAGTCCTAGTGAAAAATATATTTTGAATTATTAACCTATCCATCTAGTAGTTAAATTTAAAAATAAAACTAATTCAAATCACTACTTGATTACTACGACCAAACCAAACTGTTAAAGATAGTTCTTCTGAAGAGCATGTGAGCATAGCCTAGGCTGGGGAGTGAGACTCAGGTGATTTTGAAAAGCCATTTATTGTCTTTTATAAAAAATATTTCTATTTCTAATCTAGATGCATCTGTCTCTGATATAGATGCAGCTCAGGAATACTTTTAAAGGCTATATGTACTTTCTACTTATCATATGACCTATGTTCTTAAAAGCTACTTGAAAATAAAATTATACTATGACTCTCATAGGAGAAATTAATATGAACAACATTCTATAAAATAAAGGTTATTCAGTTTTCATAATATCAGATATTACTTTCAGAAGCTCAGGATCACTAACAAGTAAGTTCACAGAATTAATTGAATTATAACAATTAACAGGTTTAATAATTAATGTAGAGAAAATATTTGTTATACAATTGTATGTAGAAGGATTCCTTCCCAAGGCTATAAAATATCTATGTATATCTATGGTATTTTAGCAATGTGGCTATTTCACAGAAACTATAAATGTATGGCATGAAAAGTCAGTCCCCAGCTTTCTTTGCCTAAGGTATTCATTTTGTAAGCTCAGGTTTTGATGCTGTGTTTTAATCTGTTAGCATTCAGACAACAGCAGAACTGCTTTGGTCCTGAGATAACACAGCCATCTCTGTTTATGAGGAATGCCACCTATCATAACCCAGGAGCCTAAAACACAAATGCAGAACTGAGCAAGAAGCTTCACTTCTTATGTCAGCTCAGGTCTCCACAGCTTTTCCAACTAGAGTCTCACTGGACTCAATTTTGAGAAACTGTGACAGCCACAAAACAGCAAATATCACCGTGAAAGAGACCATATCTCTTGCCCCCAAATCACATGCCCCAACCATGACCTTTCTTTGCAATCTCCCTTTTTAATAAAAAGCACCAAGAGCTGTAACCTTAAAAAGAAACTTGTTGAGATTTTTAATTGTTTTTTTTAATGCAATATCATGGAATTAGAGATAATTCTGAATTTTCCAAAAAAAAATCTTGTTTATAACTGAATGTTGTATGTATTATAATTGAATATTGTATGTATTATTTTATGATTATTGTGACAAAATATTGGGGGGGGAAACTTAAAGAAGAACAGATTTATTTTGGCTCACAGTTTGAAGACTACAGTCCATCTAGGTGGAGAAGGTTCTACAGTAGGAATGTGAGGTAGCTGGCCATACCACATTCCAGTCAAAGGCAAAGCATGAGGGATACTGGTACTCGGCACACTGTCTCCTGTTTATTCTGTCTAGGACCCTAACAAATGCAAGGGTGCTACACAATTTAGGGTAGGCTTCCTACCTCAATTAACCTAATCTAGACACACCCTCACAGATATGCTCAGAGGCCTGTGTCCTAGGTGATCCCGGATCCCATCACGTTGATATTAACCCCATTCCTTTGTTCTAGCCTCTTGCAGGGTTATGCAGTTCTACCTGCTGGAGTAGTTGATGAAGCTTTTCAGCGTCTCCTAAATGTCTGTTCTATAGTGGGACGCATCCTTCAAGACCATCCTGAAACCAGTGCTCTCCTGCTGTTGCTCTACCACATTGACAAGAAGTCCGGAGTCATTTTCTGCCTAGAATAGAGCTCACTTCGTTAGCCATGTTACATCGCAAGCTCAATCCAATTTCTCACACTGCAATAACACAATCATCCAACCTAATTATCTTCATTGCAAGTATTTAAAAGCACTTTCTGAGAGATATTTCTCTCTGTGTCGGGCAGGATGAACATCAAGTGAACAGCTTATGGCGTCTTCATTTTGTTTGTTTGTAAGGGCTTGACACTTTAGGAAATAGTTGCTTCTGACAAAGGAGAAATTGTCTCTCACCCATGTGGTTATCGAAAAGTGACTTCCTCGTCAATAACAGCCTCCGTGAATAACCAGAGTCTCACAATACCTTAAGCACACATGCACTTTTGACATTCTGCAGAGTTGAGAATACGGCAGTCTGCATGACTTTTACAACGTTTTGAATAAATCAAAGGGGGTTTAGGGATCCAAGAAGGAATTTAAAAATTAAAAAAAAACAAGACAATAAAAGATAATTTGTATTGAAATTCCATTCCTTACCACCATCACTTAGGAAAGTGATGGCTGCTCCCTGGAAATAATTCAGAGGATACATCATCGAGCTTGTTTTCAAGGACTCTTAACAATTTGTTTACCAAAAGCCCCCAAATTCTACTCCCAAAACAGTTCATCTATACTTCTTTTAAACCACCAAAAGAGGAATTAACCTACAACTTTAAAAAAAATAGAGCATTTATTAGGGGGAAATTCCTTTTAAAGGTATTTTTTGATTTGTAGGCAAAATTTATAAAAGGACAGGAAGCTCAATTCCACTTCAAGCTACCCTTTCTCCATTTGCCAACTTCTGGAGTTAATCATGGTCAGGTGCCTCTGCTTGTGTGTGAGCAAGTTTTCTCCTAACACCATGAAGAAACTCATTTGACGTGTGCCCAAGGCGAATAACAAATTTATGTCTGTAGCCCTGGTTGTCTAATTGCTTATATTTGTAAAGTAAATGATATCCTTTGCCAGCTTTGGAACTGGCTTAACGGTGCTTAAAGTAAAGGAATGAATGCACTTAGCAAGTTTAAGATAAGCAACGTCTGACACATCGGAAACAAACACTGGGATGGATGTACGGGGCAGGGGAACACTCAAGCCACACAGCCCTGTGTAGCCAGTGCAACCATACATGCATCCAAAAGGGAGGAGAATGAGCTAGCCATTGTGTGATTTCACTTGATACCTGTTGTGATGGGACACTCTGGAGTGTTGACAACACTGTAGGTCAGCATTTAGAAACCAATGCCACACATAAGCCATGCTCAGTTTAACGTTCTTACCTTATAAACTTGACCGTACGTGCCATTTCCAACAAGTTCCACCAACTCAAAGATCCCTGCAGGGTCCTGAAAAGAAACCAACAATCAAAATTAAACCACCACACCAGGCCCTATCATCATCAAAAGCAAATATTTACTTTTGAATGAGCAATTAAATTATTTGAATTTGAGGGGAGGGCATCTTTTAAATGCAACTACTAAATGGTATATTTTTTTAAAGTTTATTTAAACCACAGCTATGAAACTACTCAAATTCACTTTGCTTTTATTTCATACCTTTATGACAAATGTAAATCAAAGACAAAGGGCAATTATTTTCCATTAAAACAGTAAGAGGAATGATTTGTGAGGTGACTCCATGCATGCAAGCCGACCTGAGCTCCATCCATAGGACCTACTTTAAAACCTGCACACGGTAGAGCATGTCTAAAACCCCAGCATGAGAAGCTGGAGATAGGATGGCTTATTGCTCTCAAGGTTCAGTGAGAGAAAGGAAATCTTGTCTCAAACCTAACGTGGTCAGTGACTTAGGGAGACACCTGCCATCAATGACTGGCCTCCACAGACATGCACACATCCACACATACCACACCTACATCCACATGTGTGCACACCCACATACAACAAACAATAAAAACAATAAAAAAATACAAACAATAAAAAAAGAATTGACATTTTTCTCCCCATAGAATCAAGGTGCGCTTGTACCTCTACTGAGGTAACAAGAAAGGCACCAATTGTCAGAGGAAACTCTAACTTTTTAGACTATTTCTCTTGACATATCTGAGCCACTTACTAGCATGAATGCTGAGAAGAAAACAAGATGTGTTGGCTAGTTTGTTTGTTTGTTAACTTGATGCAAGCAAGAGTCATCTGGGAAGAAGAAACCTCAGTTGAGAAAATGTCTCCAGCAGACTGGTATATATAGGTAAGTCTATGGGGGTATTTTCTTGATCCATAATTGATATAGGAGGCACAGGCTATTGGCAATGCCACTGCTAGGCTGGTGGTCGATAAAACAGCCAGCTTAGCAAGCCATGGTGAACAAGCCAGTAAGCAACTTTTCTCTAGGGTTCCTTCTCTTTTCTCCAGGTCTGACTTCCCTCAATAGTGGGCTGTGACCAGGACATGTAAACCAAATAAACCCTTTTCTCCCCAGCTTACATGGAGTTTCATGGTAACAGTAACTGATACATTGTGTTCCTCCAGTGTGAGGTATCTTTCTTATGGAACTCGACAGTCCCCAAGAGAAAAGGGGGTCAAGATGTCCAGCTCCCTGAATGTTTTGCCTTGGTTTCGTCTCTCACCTCTGAAATTCTCCCCCTGCAAAATATGCTTTTCCAGTACTTACAAGGTAAGCGCAGGATTTGGAATTCAACCGATGAGAGGGGTTTATGGAAGTTCATGACTACAAACAGGTTTCTATCAAGTTTCAAAATCAAGTCAGTGCCACACAGTCTGGGACAGTCCTGTGGCCATTGCTACCCTTACTGCTGAGCCGTCATCTAAAGCAGTGGAGAGGAGAATGAGCAAAGGCCGTAAAATTCAAGTTTGAGGCACAAACTGTCTTTTACCTCTGATTCCTAAGCCTAAAACATTGCTTCTTCAAAGAAATAAACAGACCAGAAAGAAGGCTCAGGTGATGCAGGCAGCAAGCAGGGGGGACATGAGTATCCCCAGGAGCCACTTAGTAGAAGAAAATAACCAACTTCCATTAAGTTGTCCTTTGTGCACATGCACACGCATGTACACACACATACACACAAATATAAATAAATAAATAAATAAATAAATAAATAAGTATAATTTTTATTTTAAAAGAATAACCAAAGAATCCCCAGCATAACCATCCACAGAAGCTATGCAGGTAAGAGCAGGGAATGACATGACCCTGTGGGAAAAGTTCTCTTCTTCTAGTCAGGGACAGGGAGGGGAGAAAGAGATACTCAGCAGAACTAATTACTACCCCGCCACCATAAGAGTACAAAACTGCCAGGTCTAATGATTTGTCAAGAAAACCCAGGTATTTTTTTTTAAAGTGTGATCTAATTTTTAAGTGTTAGCCATTTAATTTAACTAAAAAAAATGTTGGGAGATGATTTTAAAAAGCTATCCTGAGAGTGGGGCCTACCTCTAATGGATACCTAACACATGTTATGGCAGGTGGGCTGGCAGGCAGGAGGGGAACAGACCAGGCATTAGATTCAGACGTACCCAGACCAAAGGCACCTTTAACTTAAGCACTGTGTGACCGTAGGAGAACCTAGAGGCACGGGCTAGTTCCTGGGCCTATAAAATACAGTTGACTTTTACCCTGTGCCCCATAAAAAGTTGGCTACCTATTACTATCTATCGTAATCATTTTGGGGTACTAATAAGGTCTGCTATAGCCAAGACTGGACTTAACTTACTATGTAATACTGTAAAAGATGACCATTCACCTTGATCTGCCAAGTGCTGGGATTACAGATCTATGCCGCCATGCCCAGTTTAGGTATGCTGAGGTTAGAAGCCAGGGCTTTCAGTTGTGCTAAGAAAGTATAGAAAGTGAGGACATAGCTGCTCCAAAGGATGGTTGAAGGGAAGGTGTTTTTTTTATCATACATATGAAGAATATATAATATATATGATATATGAGGAATTATTATTATCATTGTACATATGAGAAATTATTATTGTTGTACATATGAGGAATATATAATATATATAATTTATGAGGAATATATAATATATAATATAGATATGAGGGAGGGATGCCTGAGGCATCTGGAAAAGTCCAGAGCAGGGAGAGAAAATTACACACTAAACATGGCCAGCATGATGCAGGAAGGGCAAGAGGGAGAGGAGCAAGAGAGGACAAAGGAAAACCAACCAAAATGGCAGGGTTCTATAGGAAGGAGAAGCTGGGGGAAGGGAAGCTCATGAGCTGGAGATATTCAAGGTAGGGGGTGGGGCAAGAAGAGCTCAGGAGAGCCAAGGGCCGTAGTGATACTGAGAAGGCCCTGAGGCCAACATGAGCTTTGGTATGCTGATCAACACCACAGAAAGCTATTTGTCCAGTTTCTTCTCAACCTGGCAGAGTATTTTGTAGACTTTGCCACATCCCCAGCCTTAGTGACTACTTTTATCCTAAGGAGTGCTATACCACAGTATTACTGAACCACCATTCTAATTGATAGTCATGAAGAAGGACAGGTAGAGCTCTTGAAAATGAGTCTACACTAAACCAGACCCCTTCCCTCAATGCAATGGTTTATAGTCTTTCAATGACTCTACAAAGAAAGCTGAGGAGATGACTCGGCAAGTAAAGTGTTTGCCATGCAACTGTGAGGACCACCATCAGGATCTTAGCATCCATAAAAAAATGCCAGGCTAGTGTTGTGGCCCACCTGTAATCCTAACACTAGGAGGCTCATGGGAAACCCCCAATGAAAGCTGGTTAGCTATACTTGTTAAACTAGAAAACTCTGGGGTCAAACAATAGATTCTGATTCAAGGCAAGTATCCTATGTAACTATCCTCTGAGCCAAGCAATGGTCATGTTGAGGAGTTCAGCTGTGCCCATATGCAAAGGATAATCCCAGCTAGTCTGGATGACAGTCTATGGCCCTCACTTCCACCCTTATAAATGCTCAGAGTAGGGCACAAGAGTCTTGCCTGAACTCTGCTGTTTTTTCCACCTATCATGCTGGACTTGGCCAGGGGGAAGACCTAGAGTACACAGAGGCTGGCAAAAACCAGAGTGCAGTCTCCAGTTGTCTGCCTATGCATGGAAAGTCCGCACCCTTGTTGAGTAAGGCTTTCCAGGTGCAGCCTGTTTGTGGAGGAGTGACCACACCCCTGTAATTAACCCCTCACTTAGGTTCCGTGTAGGAGCACAATACATTCATTGGTTTCCCAGTGAACTCTGCACAGAATCATGCCTTGGTTCATCATTGAGATCTTGGGAGGAGGAGTAGATATTGTTTCACATCATCTCCAGGGAAGAAATGTTTGTTTGTTTGTTTGTTTGTTTTGTTGTTTGTTAGTTTTCAAGACAAGGTTTCCCTGTATAGCTATGGTTGTCCTGGAACTTGCTCTGAAGACCAGGCTGGCCTAGAACCCAGAGATCCACCTGTTTTAACAACATGAGTAATCAGTAAGCTACTCAATGTCAACCTCTGACTTCCACACACATAGGCACATAAGTGTATGTGCCCGCATACATGGCAGCACACATACACTCACGTATGTTTCTGACAAAAATCAGAAACAGAAAATTTTGGTTACTGAAAAAAACCTAGAGTACATATTAATTCCTCTTACAGAATCAAAAAGGAAAGACAGGAACAAACAAACAAAAGATGAGCAAAGAACAGAAGATGCCAGATTCCAGTCATGCCCACCTGGTCTGTACAAGTACAGAATGGACAAGAGGAAGCCACTAGAAAACAGCAGCTCAGAACCAACAACCAGAGCAAAGACTCAGTCAAGGCCACCCAGGAGCCCTCAGGAGAAAATTTTAGTTTGTTAAACTAAACCATCTAGACCAAGATTAGAAAGAAATGAAGAAAAGAGGGGGGAAAGAGGCCATAAACGATAGCAGCTGATGTTTGTTTCTAAGCTGTGTTTCCCTGTAGTTTGTTTGCTCAGTGATGTTTCTGCAACATGTTTGGAAGTATTTCATTTGCTTGAAATATTTCAACTAGAAAATAAGCATGAACAAAAGAAAGAGGAGTCTAGCCATGGTAGCTCAGAATTATTATCCCGGCACTCAGGACATTGAATGACAGACATTTGAGACCAGTCTGGACCACAGAATAGCACGGAAGAAGAAAAGAGGAAGAGGAAGGAGAGGAAGGGACAGACGCAGGATGGTGACTGCTGGCTGCTTAAGGAGTCTGGGAGTCAATCAAAGGTTGAGGAGGACAGGATGCCAGGTCTCCCCATATCCTTCTTAGTGGTGAGACTAATGGCTAGTTTCTGAGAGTATCTGGACAGCTGACTTTAGAGGCCCTTCCCTCTTCCTGAATCATCTACTGATGGACATATGACTCAGCCAATCAGTGACAATAGGCTCCCTACAG